GGATATGATCACCATGTATAATACATAAGGGGGATATGATCTCCATGTATAATACATAAGGGGGGATATATTCTCCATGTATAATACATAAGGGGGATATGATCTCCATGTATAATACATAAGGGGGAAACAATCTCCATGTATAATACATAAGGGGGATACAATCTCCATGTATAATACATAAGAGGGGATATGATCACCATGTATAATTTATAAGGGGGGATATGATCTCCATGTATAATACATAAGGGGGGATATGATCTCCATGTATATTACATAAGGGGGAGATATGATCTCCATGTATAATACATAAGGGGGGATATGATCTCCATGTATAATACATAAGGGGGGATATGATCACCATGTATAATACATAAGGGGGGATATGATCTCATGTATAATACATAAGGGGGATATGATCTCCATGTATAATACATAAGGGGGGATATGATCACCATGTATAATACATAAGGGGGGATATGATCTCCATGTATAATACATAAGGGGGATATGATCTCCATGTATAATACATAAGGGGGAGATATGATCTCCATGTATAATACATAAGGGGGGATATGATCTCCATGTACAATACATAAGGGGGATATGATCTCCATGTATAATACATAAGGGGGGGTATGGTCTCCATGTATAATACATAAGGGGGAGATATGATCACCATGTATAATACATAAGGTGGGATATGATCTCCATGTATAATACATAAGGGGGGATATGATCACCATGTATAATACATAAGGGGGGGATATGATCTCCATGTGTAATACATAAGGGGGGATATGATCTCCATGTATAATACATAAGGGGGATATGATCTCCATGTATAATAACATAAGGGGGATATGATCTCCATGTATAATACATAAGGGGGATATGATCACCATGTATAATACATAAGGGGGATATGATCTCCATGTATAATACATAAGGGGGATGTGATCTCCATGTATAATACATAAGGGGGGATATGATCTCCATGTATAATACATAAGGGGGGGATATGATCTCCATGTATAATACATAAGGGGGGATATGATCTCCATGTATAATACATAAGGGGGGATATGATCTCCATGTATAATACATAAGGGGGATATGATCACCATGTATAATACATAAGGGGGGGATATGATCTCCATGTGTAATACATAAGGGGGGATATGATCTCCATGTATAATACATAAGGGGGATATGATCTCCATGTATAATACATAAGGGGGAGATATGATCTCCATGTATAATACATAAGGGGGGATATGATCTCCATGTACAATACATAAGGGGGGGTATGGTCTCCATGTATAATACATAAGGGGGGATATGATCTCCATGTATAATACATAAGGGGGGATATGATCACCATGTATAATACATAAGGGGGGGATATGATCTCCATGTGTAATACATAAGGGGGGATATGATCTCCATGTATAATACATAAGGGGGATATGATCTCCATGTATAATACATAAGGGGGAGATATGATCTCCATGTATAATACATAAGGGGGGGATATGATCTCTCCATGTACAATACATAAGGGGGGTATGGTCTCCATGTATAATACATAAGGGGGGGTATGGTCTCCATGTATAATACATAAGGGGGAGATATGATCACCATGTATAATACATAAGGTGGGGATATGATCTCCATGTATAATACATAAGGGGGGATATGATCACCATGTATAATACATAAGGGGGGGATATGATCTCCATGTGTAATACATAAGGGGGGATATGATCTCCATGTATAATACATAAGGGGGATATGATCTCCATGTATAATACATAAGGGGGATATGATCTCCATGTATAATACATAAGGGGGGATATGATCACCATGTATAATACATAAGGGGGATATGATCTCCATGTATAATACATAAGGGGGATGTGATCTCCATGTATAATACATAAGGGGGGATATGATCTCCATGTATAATACATAAGGGGGGGATATGATCTCCATGTATAATACATAAGGGGGGATATGATCTCCATGTATATAATACATAAGGGGGGATATGATCTCCATGTATAATACATAAGGGGGGATATGATCACCATGTATAATACATAAGGGGGGGATATGATCTCCATGTGTAATACATAAGGGGGGATATGATCTCCATGTATAATACATAAGGGGGATATGATCTCCATGTATAATACATAAGGGGGATATGATCTCCATGTATAATACATAAGGGGGATATGATCTCCATGTATAATACATAAGGGGGGATATGATCTCCATGTATAATACATAAGGGGGGATATGATCTCCATGTATAATACATAAGGGGGGATATGATCTCCATGTATAATACATAAGGGGGGGGATATGATCTCCATGTGTAATACATAAGGGGGGGGATATGATCTCCATGTATAATACATAAGGGGGGATATGATCTCCATGTATAATACATAAGGGGGGGATATGATCTCCATGTATAATACATAAGGGGGGATATGATCTCCATGTATAATACATCAGGGGGGATATGATCACCATGTATAATACATAAGGGGGAGATATGATCCCCATGTATAATACATAAGGAGGGGATATGATTTCCATGTATAATACATAAGGGGGGATATGATCTCCATGTATAATACATAAGGGGGGATATGATCTCCATGTATAATACATAAGGGGGGATATGATCACGTATAATACATAAGGGGGAATATGATCTCCATGTATAATACATAAGGGGGAGATATGATATCCATGTATAATACATAAGGGGGGGGGGTATGATCCCCTTGTATAATACATAAGGGGGGGGGGGTATGATCTCCATGTATAATACATAAGGGGGATATGATCTCTGTGTATAAATACATCAGTGGTTCATATAGTGAACTCTGTATAGAGTTATTCACCCTGAGCTCATCACAGAGGACAAGGGGGCGCTCTTTACGTCTGGAGGAAAAGAGATTTAATCTCCAAACATGGAAAGGTTTCTTCACAGTAAGAGCTGTGAAAATGTGGAATGGACTCCTTCAAGAGTTGTATTCTTTCTTGGATACACAAAATATATCTGGATACTAACATTTATAGGTAAAGTTGATCCAGAGAATATCCAATTGCCTCTTGGGGAATCAGGAAGGATTTTTTTCCTCTGCAGGAACAAATTGGATCAAAATTTTCAGTCTTTTTTTGTTTATTTATCAAGAAATAAAAAACTCAGTGGTGATTAAACCCCTCCAAAAGAAATGTCTTAATTGTTTAGAACAAAATGATAAAAATGTAATCTGTTTACAGTGTTTCATGACCACGCAATTGTCATTCAAAATGCAACAGCATTGAAAGCTAAAAGTTGGCCTGGGCAGGAAGGGGGTGAAAGTGCTTAAAATTGGAATGCTTTAAGTATAAGGTTTCACCTAAAGTGTATGCCCTATCAAAACATTTTACTTAGGCTAGTCATATATATATAGATTTCTCCCTCCATGCTAAATGGCGGAATCTCTGTTGCCAGCTATTGTATTTAAACAGATAAAACACCTGTGGCTACTAGAATACCTGAATAGCAACTGCATCTAGTAGAATGCAATCACTGTTCGGCTGTGAGATCTGTGGTAGTTCACTGATTCTTCCTGTTACTATATCTGTATGCTCGTATGCTGCATGCTCGTACTTCAGAAACACTGACAGATCTGTAGGAGACGTACATGGCACCAGCGATCAGCTGATCACTAGTACAATGCTTTACAGGCTCCCAAAGAAAAGTGCATTTACTATTTTTTGTCAAAAGGTGAACTTATCCTTTAAACACAAGGTCAATTGAAGACAAGCCAGGCTGATCATTTTAATCCTCCCTGCCAGTGGCAAGTTGATTGTCCCATCCAAGTAAACTGATGCATTCTGCTGGAGAGCTTAAACTTCTGAAAAACAGCAGAGTTGCTATTTGAATAACCAGATGAAATAAAAGAAAGGAAGCCTAAAAGAGAAAACTAATGCAGCCATCACATCACATTGGTAAGATGCAATAAAATAAATGTTTGTGTTGGGTTTAATACTGCTTTAACTGTAATTAAACATGGTTATCTGGAACTTTATAATGCCTATTAGAAGATTACAGAAGAGCTCCGCTAAAACAATTACAATCTAAATTGATTACATGACCTAAAAGCATTTATTCAGAAAAAAACAAACCAGTTTTTTTCTGATAACCTTTTAAAGATCACACTTAACCCTGATCTTTGTTTAGCTGAAATGCCTCCATGGGTTCACGCTACAAGCAGGTCTATATAAACTGTGCTGACAGGCTCCAATGATGGAAGGGAAGGCAGAAATACAACATTTTCAGTGGCTCACACTGAATTGCATGTTAGCTTTTCTACAGTGTAAGTAAAAGGGGCACATCAATCTATATATATTTTGTTTACTTTTAACAGTTCCTTGTTTCAATTTTATTTCCTGTCCTGAGCCCTTCTTTAAATTAGACTAAAAGGCAATAACTGACTTTGTGTCCCGATCTTCTTTGCTACTTCCAGTGCAAACCTCAATGTATTTATGTCCTGAATTCTGCCCTCACTGGCACATTTGCCTCTAAGGCCAAGGACAGCTGTTGTATGCAGCAAAGAAACTAAAGCAAGGGTCTCTACTTCACCCATAGCCTGTCCTAATTGGTTACCTCTGCTGAGCAAACAGTGGTAGCCAGTCAGTGCCTTTGCCTCACACAAAGCCTATCCTTGGACTCAGCTAAGAGTTATAATTATCAGCAAGGACAGCGACTGGTCAGACTCAGAAGGATCCCTCAGCAGGAAAGAAGTATTTAGTGTGACTAGCTGTTTTTTGTTAATGGCGAAAGCACAGGAGGGCAGCAGGCCTAAACTCAGTGTTTTACGTTAGATTACCTCTTCAGGACAGCAGCATGTATTACTGACAAATACTTGTTTTATGATGAGTTACATGCTATGTAAATACAACTAATCACCCAGATGTTTCTGTCTCTTCAGATTATCGCTACATCAAAGTTGAAGGAACAACAGTCATTCTGAACCAGTCCAACGAGCTAAGTTGTTCAGCAAGTAACCTCTCATCTCCTGATGTGACGTTTGAGTGGGTGAGAAATGGAAAAGTCCTCAGCACCTCCATCCCCCAGGTGGTGGAAGGCTCAGACAGTGATGGGTTTAAAGTGCAAAACTCCTTCTGCTTTACTCCTGTCCTGGGGGATGACAGCGCTCGCTATGCTTGCCAAATTAAGCAACAAAACGTCCCTTACCCACTGAAGAAAACATTCCAACTTACCTTTGGGGGTAAGTCTCAAAATCCACATTAAAAAACTTTTTGTTAATACTGTCTTTTTCTGTTTTTTTTAACCACCTGCCTAAACATATTGTGAGCCGGTGGCAAGTACAGGCATGATCACGTACTGTACATGCGTATGATCAGCTTTCTTTCAGGTTTGGACATGTTATGAGTTTGGCAGCCGATTTCAGCCAATGATTTTGGCTAAAATCAGATGATACAGAGAGTTTGGTGTTTACAAAAACACAGAACTTTGTGCACAAAGAACGGTGATTTGGCTGTTCCTTCTCCCTGCAAGACAGGGACAAAAAACAGCCAGATAGAACAGCAAAAACAGCACACATTACATATTGATAGGCACACAGTTAAAGTGATATTAAAGGCAATTTTTCTTTACATAACAGACATGTCACACTTACCTGTTCTGTGTAATGGTTTTGCACAGAGCATTCCTGATCCTCCTCTTCTCAGGTTCCTCATTGGTAATCCTAGCTCCTGCCAAGTGCTCCCAAAAAAAGCAGCTTGCTATGAGGGCACCCAAGCAGGATCACTCCAGAGCCGTTGTCTGCGTGTCAATTCACAATAAAAGTCATGGCTCCTCCCCCGTCTCTCCTCATTGGCTCACTGGCTGTGAGTGACAGTGATCAATGAGAAGAGAGAGTCACTGGAGAGCAGAGGTTCTTGTGTACATGCTGAATCGCGATGGGGCTCCGGTCATTATTAGGGGGGACTGGGGGGAGCTGCTGCACACAGACTTTTTTTACCTTCATGCATATAATGCATGAAGGTAAAAAACCTTGAGCCTTTACAACCACTTTAACCTTTTGATTGCCCCTTTATGTTAACCCCTTCCCAGCTAGTGTCATTAGCACAGTGACAGTGTACAGTATCAGCGCTGATCGCTGTATTAGTGTCACTATTGATGTTAGTGTAGTCAGTGAAGTAGTGTCAGTCAGTTAGTGTCCCTCCCGGCCATTGTCAGGTAGTGCCAGATTGTCTTCTACACTATCACAGTCCCATGATTAGCTGCTGATCACACCCATTACTAGTATAGCATAATAGCTGTGTAAATTCCAGTATATATACCATAGTTTGTAGATGTTATAACTTTTGCACAAACCAATTAATAAACACTTATTGGGACTTTTTTTTTTTACCAAAGACATGTAGAAGAATAAATGTTGGTCAAAATGTATGAAGAAATGTAATTATTTTTTTTTTTATTGGATATGTTTTATAATAGAATGTAGAGAATATTGTTGTTTTCCACAATTTTCAGTCATTATTTTGTTTATATGATAAAAAATAAAAGTCCAGTGGTGATCAAATCCCACCAACAGAAAGCTCTATTTGTGCTAAAAAATATATATATATATTTTTCATTTGTGTACAGCATTGCATGACCAAGCAATTCCCAGTTAAAGTAGTACAGTGCTGAATAGCAAAAAAAATGCTCTGATCATGAAGGGGATAAAATCTTACCAGAATATCAAGTGGTAATTTATCTTTTTATATATTTTACAAATTACCATTTAAAATGTATGTCAAGGAAAAATTAAAAAACAAGTATTCAGTATTGCTCTACAATACCCATGTTTACCCATGTGTTTTAACCTTTTTAAAAATGCTGCAGTAACAGAAAAATACCTGTTGATCCGCCACAAATCGAATGAGTTCCTAACTTTTTGTTTGGTGCTCTTGCTGCGTTGACATTTAAAGGATAAGTTCACCTTTTTACAAAAATTAATAGATGCACAGGAGCCTGGAAAGCATTGCACCAGTGATCAGCAGATCTCCTGCAGACCTGTCAATTTATCTGCTTGACCATACAGGATGTATGGGCAAGCAGATACACTCTGACAGGAGGAATCAATGAACTAACACAGCGGTCAACAGCACCGTCAGGGAGATTGGGAGTTTAAGGGTAAATTAAGTAATTCCTGGACATACACTCTGATGCAGCAAAGTCCCATGATACAGGATTCCCAGAGCACTATGAGTGTACTAAAGAGAGATCATACTACTAGCTGTTACCTTTCAAAAACTCTGTGATTATAACTTGAGGGAACTGTATAAAGGGAGGGGAAGAAAGGTGACGATTCACCGCTCTGACTCATTTACTTCTGTGTGTGCAAATCACACCTTAAGCTATTGGACTCTATAAAGAAAAGGCTGTTTTCAATAGGGAGTATGGAGGAACTTGATAACATGCAAAATGAAACCATAGGTTCTACCTGCTAGTTTAAATTGAAATATTAATACTTAACAATGCATCTATATAATTTACATTCAATAATAGGCAGACATAGAGAGCAATCTAAAATTCTAAGCCATATTTGTGGATTTCTGAATACTTTATTGTCTTACAGTTCGCCCACAAGTCACATTCTACCTCTCCAGCAAAGATCAAAAGAATTCTTCCTTAGTATGCCTGGTGTCAGGCTTTTACCCTGATGATCTGAGCCTTGCAATGAAAAGAGATGGACAGCTCCTGGGATACAAGTTAAATAAGTGGGTGAATGGTAACGGCACCTATTCACTAGAGGCCACCTATCGGACCAACGTTACTTACAGAGATAGCAACATTGATTACACTTGTACCGTTTATCACCCTACAGTGCCAGGAGGTGCAACAGAGAGACTCAGATTCCTTGGTAAGCATACTGCCTATACTACAGAAAACCCTTCTTTATTATATAAATATAAAGGTGGTCTGGATACAACTGTCTTCAAATTAAAAGCAACAGTTGAATGTGAAAAGAGATACAGAAAAGTTAAGTATTTTGTCACCAAACAAAATATAAAAGCAAAACAGATTTAGGCTCATGCACACTAGCTTAAAAAAATGCTGCTCTTAGAGGAGTTCAGCATTTTGCCTGTAGAGACAACTAATGTTATCCTATGTGCCCATGCACATTAGGTAGTCTAGAGGCGTTTTCTAAGTTCAGTGTTTAGAGACAAAAAAAACCCTTCAGTTTCGCATTTTGAGTGTTTTTCTGCCAGAAAATATTGTTAAACGCTAGTACAAAAAACACTTAAAATTAGTGTTTTTTTCTGCCAAAAGCACTGGAGGTTTTTAAGCCAGTGTGCATGGAGCCAAAATAGTAAAATAAAACAGCAAAAATTTGCTTATACTGCTTCTCTATAATGGATTCTGAAATGTGTATATAAAGTTGTGACATTCACTTTGTGTTTTTGCAGTTGATGCTTATGTACCTAAGGGAATATGGATTGCAGCTATTAGTGGCCTTTTACTGGCAGTTCTACTTCAAATTTTCTGCAAACACGGTAAGTTAGATAAATTAATGATCCCAAACACAAAAATCCATTTCTATAAACATTCTATAAACATTTCTATAGCTATATAGTAAAAGCTTCTGACCCAAGGTATGAGGCACGCTCAGACATACTTTACCACTTGCCCCAGATGGACGTAGCCACACATCCAATGGTTTAAGTGGTTCTACCAGAGTAATGGCTGCACCTGCATTCATGACCCTAGTATCTTAACATCTCAGCCAGAGATTCTCTTTAATGTAAAAGTAATCCAAGCAGCTATACATCCACTGGATCTCCCATTTCATGGGGGAGCCTGGGACTAAAGCCAGTGGTTCCACCGGCTGACCATAGAGATGAGGGAGGAACAGAAGTTCCCGATGATCTCTTTTGTCTATGAAATTAGTAACAACAAGGATTTTGTCACTTCTGGTTTCGTTTTGTTATTTACAACCTGTTACCAGCTGGTGAAAGCATCTGATCAAACCAATCTCAGTTTGATCACATGCTTTTGAGGGCAGAGGAGGGACCTGGGTTGTAACAGACCCCATATCTCTCAGTAAAGAGGACCTGTCACTGCCCCAGCTATCACAAGGGATGTTGATCATCCCTTGTGATAGCAATAGCGTTGAAATAAGTAAACTAAAGAGACAGTGTAAAAAATCAATCTGAATGATAAAAATTAAACAAAAAAATTGAAGTGTCCCCATCCCCCTATGCTCACAAGCAAATGTGAACAGGCATCACACATCTGTGGTATTGCAACGAACATAGAGACAGAGCGAGTGCAATAATTAAACCCCCAAGACCCCTTGTATATCTTTAAACTGGGTAACTGTATAGGGTTTTAAAGTGTCGCCTATGAAGTACCATAGTTTGTCACCACGGCACAGGCATGAGCAATTTTAAAGCATGAAATGTTAGGAATCTGTTTACCCAGCGTAACATCATCTTTTACACTTTACCAAACAATATTGTGATTGCCTGATTTAAAATTCATTAAAGTGTATTGTTTCCAAACAATCTGTGTTTAAAAAACCGCTGCGCAAATATTGTGTGACATAAAAAATTGCAACGATGTTCTAAGTATTTTTTTAGTAAAAAATGATGATTTTTACATGTATGTGAGACGGAACAGGCTTGGGAGGCAAGTGGTTAAACCTTTTGTGCTGGATCTTCTGTTATTGGCAAATGGACACTCTGACTCTGTGCATGAAAGAATAAGAAAGAGTAAAAGAAATCCTAAATACATTGTTTGATGCACATCAGGGACATAGTTTACAGTACAAAAACTGTATGAAAGTTCCTCAGCAAGCCAATTCTCCTAGTCAGCAAAGTTAACCAAACTATAATCTATTTCCAACATTTGTATTCAAAACAAACATCTGGCATTGCACATAACTATGGATATATGTACAGTATATATATATATTCAGTCAGGTCCATAAATATTGGGACATCGACACAATTCTAACATTTTTGGCTTTATACACCACCACAATGGATTTGAAATGAAACGAACAAGATGCGCTTTAACTGCAGACTGTCAGCTTTAATTTGACGGTATTTACATCCAAATCAGGTGAACGGTGTAGCAATTACAACAGTTTGCATACAGTTGTGGCCAAAATTATTCAACCCCCACTGAAATTGAGTGTTTTGGCCAGTTTGACATTGCTTTTGATCATTCAGTCATCTTGCTTACATTTACATTAAAGAGGCACTTGTAGGTCAGACAAATATAACATAACAGTTATAATGAAATAACCACAAATGTCTTTTCTGTGCTCACAGCATTATCAGTTTTATTCAACCCCCAAGTGACATTCAATCTTAGTACTTAGTACAGCATCCTTTTACAGTTATAACAGCTTTTAAACGTGAAGCATAGCTTGACACAAGTGTCTTGCAGCGATCTACGGGTATCTTCGCCCATTCTTCATGGGCAAAGGCCTCCAGTTCAGTCACATTCTTAGGCTTGCGCACTGCAACTGCTTTCTTTAAGTCCCACCAGAGGTTCTCAATCGGATTTAAGTCTGGTGACTGCGATGGCCACTCCAAAATGTTCCAGCCTTTCCTCTGCAACCATGCTCTAGTGGACTTGGAGGTATGCTTGGGATCATTGTCCTGTTGAAAGGTCCAACGTCTCCCAAGCCTCAGGTGTGTGACGGACTGCATCACGTTTCCATCCAATATCTCCTGGTACTGAAGAGAATTCATGGTACCTTGCACACGCTGAAGCTTCCCTGTACCTGCAGAAGCAAAACAGCCCCAAAGCATGATTGACCCTCCACCATGCTTCACAGTAGGCAAGGTGTTCTTTTCATCATAGGCCTTGTTCTTCCTCCTCCAAACATAGCGTTGATCCATGGGCCCAAACAGTTCTAATTTTGTTTCATCAGTCCACAGAACACTATCCCACAACTTTTGTGGTTTGTCCACATGGCTTTTGGCATACTGCAGTCGACTCTTCTTATTCTTTGGAGACAGCAAGGGGGTACGCCTGGGAGTTCTGGCACGGAGGCCTTCATTACGCAGTGTGCGTCTTATTGTCTGGGCTGAAACTTCTGTACCCACATCTGACAAATCTTTTCTCAGTTCCTCAGCAGTCACACGGGGACTTCTCTCCACTCTACGCTTCAGGTAGCGCACAGCAGTCGAAGTCAGCATCTTCTTTCTGCCACGACCAGGTAGCGTTTCAACAGTGCCCTTTGCCTTGAATTTGCGAATGATGCTTCCTAAGGTGTCTCTTGGTATGTTTAACATCTTTGCAATCTCTTATAGCCATTGCCCTTCCTGTGAAGAGAAATCACCTCTTCTCTTGTCTTCCTGGACCATTCTCTTGCCTTCACCATGTTTGTAACCACACCAGTAAATGTCTAGAAGGAGCTGAGTATCACAGTCATTTTAAAGCTGCCTAATTGGTGCTTATTATGCTTGATTGCTGCTCGGTGACATCCACAGGTGTTTTCAATACCTGATGGAAAGCACCTGTATGAACCTCTGTTCTTCAGAGTGGTAGTCTTTAAGGGGTTGAATAATTGTGGCAATGAAGAAACCACATAAGAACCATTTACTACTGTATTACATAAACAATTGATGTCATTTTAGTTGCATTTGGGTAGTTACAACGTCCTTGTAGGATTTGATTCTGAATACAATTCCAAATGTACACTATAGTCCCTAAACCCCTTTACAGCATTGGGGGTTGAATAATTTTGGCCACAACTGTATGTGCCTCCCACTTGTTAAGGGACTAAAAGTAATGGGACAATTGGCTTCTCAGCTGTTCCATGGCCAGGTGTGTGTTATTCCCTCATTATCCCAATTACAATGAGCAGAGTTCATTTCAAGTGTGCTATTTGCATTAGGAATCTGTTGCTGTCAACTCTCAAGCTGAGATCCAAAGAGCTGTCACTATCAGTGAAGCCATCATTAGGCTGAAAAAAACAAAACAAACCCATCAGAGAGATAGCAAAAACATTAAGCGTGGCCAAAACAACTGTTTGGAAAATTCTTAAAAAGAAGGAACGCACCGGTGAGCTCAGCAACACCAAAAGACCCGGAAGACCACGGAAAACAACTGTGGTGGATGACTAAAGAATTCTTTCCCTGGTGAAGAAAACACCCTTCACAACAGTTGGCCAGATCAAGAACACTCTCCAGGAGGTAGGTGTATGTGTGTCAAAGTCAGCAATCAAGAGAAGACTTCACCAGAGTGAATACAGAGGGTTCACCACAAGATGGAAACCATTGGTGAGCCTCAAAAACAGGAAGGCCAGATTAGAGTTTGCCATACGACATGTAAAAAAGCCATCACAGTTCTGGAACAACATCCTATGGACAGATGAGACCGAGATCAACTTGTACCAGAGTGATGGGAAGAGAAGAGTATGGAGAAGGAAAGGAACTGCTCATGATCCTAAGCATACCACCTCATCAGTGAAGCATGGTGGTGGTAGTGTCATGGCGTGGGCATGTATGGCTGCCAATGGAACTGGTTCTCTTGTATTTATTGATGATGTCACCGCTGACAAAAGCAGCCGGATGAATTGTGAAGTGTTTCGGGAATATTATCTGCTCATATTCAGCCAAATGCTTCAGAACTCATTGGACGTCGCTTCACAGTGCAGATGGACAATGACCCAAAGCATACTGCAAAAGGGAAAGAAGTGGAATGTTCTGCAATGCGTAAGTCAATCACCTGACCTGAATCCGATTGAGCATGCTTTCACTTGCTGAAGCCAAAACTGAAGGGAAAATGCCCCAAGAAACAAGAGGAAACTGAAGACAGTTGCAGCAGATGCCTGGCAGAGCATCACCAGGGATGAAACCCAGCGTCTGGTGATGTCTATGCGTTCCAGACTTCAGGCTGTAATTGACTGCAAAGGATTAACCAACTATTAACCAATTCAATACCGGGCAATTTTACCCCTTCCTGCCCAGGCCAGTTTTCAGGTTTCAGCGCTCTCACACTTTGAATGACAATTGCGCGGTCATACAACATTGTACCCAAACTAAAATTTTATCATTTTCTTCACACAACTAGAGCTTTCTTTTGGTGGTATTTAATCACCGCTGGGGTTTTTATTTTTTGCTAAATTAACAAAAAAAGACCAAAAATTTTGAAAAAAAACACATGTTTTTCTTTGTTTCTGTTATAAAAGTTTGCAAATAAATAATTGTTCTTCATAAATTTAAGCCAAGATGTATTCTGCTACATGTCTTTGGTGAAAATAACACAAATTAGGATGTATTTTTTAGTTTGTAGGAAAGTTATAGAGTTCACAAACTATGGTATAGATCTGAATATTGATCAATCCTGAAGTACTGACAGCCAATCTAATTTCTTGAGGTCCAGAATGTCAGGACAGTACAGATATCCCCCAAATGACCCCTTTTTGCAAAGTAGACAGTCCGACGTACTTCATAAGAGGAATGGCGAGTTTTTTGAAGTTGTATTTTTTTTGTCATAATTTTTCGGAAAATTAAAAAATTAAAAAAATTAGTTTCACTATTTTTTTTTTACATACTGTCACCAGTGCAGTACAGCGTCATCATATAACTGGCATGGCGGTGATCAGGGACACTGACTGGTGACAGTATGAAAAAAAAATATATATATATATTTTTTTTTTTTTTTTTTTTTTAAGATTTTTTTTTCATATTTCACTATGACCAAAGTAGTACAATGTTACCATAGTAACATTGTACTACTTTGGGGAAGTGATCAGTATTTTTTTATTTTTTTTTTATACAATTTGCCTATAGCAAAGAATTACTTTGCTATAAGCAAGCATTTACCTGAATGACATCGATTCATTTAGGGTTTTTTTTTTTTTTTTTTTTTTTTTTTTTTTGTGCTTAGCTGTGATTTGGCCACAGCTAATCACATGACATGTGCATGTGATTTGGCCACAGCTAATCACATGACATGTGCATGTGATTAGCTGTGACCATCACAGCTAGACACTAGCATACAATGGATGGCATGAATGAAGCCATCCATTGTATACAACTGTCATGTGACCTGCTGTGATTGGTCACAGCAGGTCACATGGTACCGGCAACGGGGGCCGATACTCAGATCTGTCATCGGCCGTGTCCGAGGTACACGTCCGGTGACAGATCGAGCCGCTTCGTGGCTCTGCAGGAGCGCAATCTGTCATCAGTGTCCATATGGCGTCCACCCGGAACACTGATGACATTTGCCGGCCGAAATTCGGCCACAGGGCGGGCGGCAAATGGTTAAAAAGTGAAAGTTTGATTTATGATTATTATTCTGTCCCATTACTTTTGGTCCCTTAACAAGTGGGAGGCACATATGCAAACTGTTGTAATTCCTACACCATTCACCTGATTTAGATGTAAATACCCTCAAATTAAAGCTGTCAGTCTGCAGTTAAAGCACATCTTGTTTGTTTCATTTCAAATCCATTGTGGTGGTGTATAGAGCCAAAAATGTTAGAATTGTGTCCATGTCCCAATATTTATGGACCTGACTGTATATACTGTATATTATACATAGTGGCTAGCTAGGCTTGTACCCCATCAGAGCTGTGATTGTTTTTTGTGTTTGATGCATTTTTATTAAACTCCAGAAGATACAGCAAGAAGAAACAATGTTATGGGTTATGAATTCTACTATGGCCAATCCCTAGGAGGTTTATTGCCATTGATATGGGTTGGAGAAGGAGATAAATACTTAGGAACCCTTCTAGAAGGGTCTTTGCCTACTAGGCTGTGCCTGGAGAGGAGGTCCACTGTGAGGAGCTTTTTTGGCATCTCAGCCCTGCTACAAGGGGAGATCCCAACATCTTTAGAATCCAGCCCCAGGGAATGAAAAATTGGCCTATTTTTGATGGTGGAAATGTGACTAACAACACCTTCAGAAAGATTGTTCAGTCTGTTGCTGGATTCAACTTAAATGTACACATTAATAAATCACTGGTCATTGGCTCCCGCTGCTGTCAATCAAATGTCAATGGACACAGACAGGTTGGCTTGGGAGCGAGCCCGCACAAATGCTCCCATGGATAACGGCTTCACATGGGGGCATTAGTCGCAAGAGTAGGGGCCAGGAGCGCCGGCAGGGAACCCCAGAAGAAGAGGATTGGGGCTGCTCTGTGCAATAGCACTGCACATAGCAGGAAAGTATAACATGTTTGTTATTTTAATTTGAAAAAAAAAATGAACTTCTTCCAAATGACAGAATTACTGTTATTATTATTATATTATTATTATTATTATACACTCCCATTCCTCGAGAACGACACAACCTTATTTCTGTGAATATCTGCAACTTAATTTGTAACATGGTTTGCATGGATCAGGTCCCAAGAGACCACCTTATGACATCATTGATGTATGCTGTTAGTCATACTTCCATTGTTTCTAAGTCCCAAGTGACCTGTAATAACAGCGTTGGGAAATAATGAGCTTAGTGTTGGTCGTATTAAGCTCGAGAGGAAGCATGTTTAAATTAACAATAAGTATACATTCTCTGCCAGTTAAGAATTCAAATGATTATTATATCACTGCATGATGATATGATTGCTGATATGCTTAACATATCTTGTCTCTCCACCATTCTAGTGACAGACATCTCAGGGTGCAAGGACTGGACTGACGGGAGCATTGCGGTCCTAAAGTGCAATATCTCAGGGCGATACCCCAGGACCATAAGTGCAGTATGGTTAATCCGGCGAGGTGACAAGGAAATTGAAGTGAAGGAGAAAGGCTCCCTCTACACAGCAGGCAATTACAGAGAACTACAAGAACAGGATTCATACACGTGCTGGAATGTTGTGAAGAAAAAGTTTGTTGGTGGACTTCGCCACTCGCTATGCTCAATACTCTGCTTCCAGGTGCACAAGGAAAAGCATGACCAGGCGGAATTTATTTGCCGCTTCATGCGAGCAGGGAAGGTACTGCAGGAGAAGAAATACTATGGAACTGTGCTGGGTAAGCAGAGATCATAACTGTGACCTGGAGACTAGAAATGGTATTGCTAGCTATCAGGCCCTGTGTGCATGAGCTTTCTGAACTGCTTTTATCTCTCTTTTTTTACAAGTCAATGTAAATGCAAAAACAGCTTCATGCAGTTTAGGAGGAATGTAACTGCAGGTATTAAAGGGATACTAAACAAACACTTAAATTTACATTACCCCTTCTCTTACTGTAAGTGGATGATGGCGCTGTAATTATTTTAACCACTTGCCCTCTGGAAGATTTACCCCCCTCCATGACCAGGCCATTTTTGCGATACAGCAAATGTGTAATTTTTTTCCCACAAATAGAGCTTTCTTTTGGTGGTATTTGATCACCACTGCGGTTTTTATTTTTTGCGCTGAAAACAAAAAAAGACGGAAAATTAAAAAATATATATTTTTAAATGTCTGCTATAAAACATATCCAATAGAGAAATGTTAAAAATCACATTTCTTCATAAATGTAGGCCAATATGTATTCTGCTACATATTTTTGTTAAACAAAATCCAATTAGCGTATATTGATTGGTTTGCGCAAAAAATGATAGTGCCTACAAACTATGGTATATATACTGAATTTGAATTTATTTATTTTTATACTAGTAATGGTGGTGATCAGCAACTTATAGCGGGACTGCAATATTGCGGCAGCGGACAATTGGACACTAACTGACACTTCTGACACTTTGTGGGAACCAGTGACACTAATGCAAGGATCAGTACTAAAAAATATGCACTAACACTGTACTAATGATACTGGTTAGGAAGGGGTTAAACATCTAGGACGATCAAAGGATTAACTGTGCGCCTAGACAGTGTTTTACTGTAAACTGTGTACTGCTTTTACTAAGGGAGGTGATGGATATGGTTACCTGAGCCATCATTACAAGATCCATCACTTCCCCCATCAGAACGGAGCTCTGTCTTATTTCTGTTCTGTGTTTCTGCCTGACGATCGTTGGGTGTGGGCGGACATCCACTGCCTGGCACCTGCAGATCGGTTTCTGCTGTGAGTAATCACAGCCAAAGTGTCTCACCAGCAACACGCGTGCGCACCCCCTAGGCAGCAATGCAGAATCTTGTATGTAAATACGTGACTTTGCACATAAGGGCCGCCCTGTAGCAGTATATCTACTGTAGGTCGATCCTTATGTGGTTAATTTAAAAATTTAAAAAAAAAAATCTAATTGATATATAGCTGTCACATGACCCAGATCTTTCCCAGTCTTTATGCAGGGAAACAGTGGCAGGAGGAGCTTCTAGTCCTCTGCTGCTGGTCACATATTCAAAATAAAAAAAACAGCCTTTAGGCTACAGAGTAAAACTAAATAATTAATATGAATAAACTGTTTTAAATCATCAAATATATATTTGAAATCAAACCTTTATTATTGTTTTGGCAATAACTGTGTGTCACGCACCTCCAGCTTCTGTGTTAGAATAACAGGGAGGTGAAGCCTCCAAGCCAACATGTAATATCCCACACCCATTGTGTTTAGTTGGCTAGTGGGCATGGAGAAGGAGGGAGGGAGTGGGAAGTCATTTACCACTGTGTATACGCCCACATGTGTGACTTTATAGTCACATGGGCTGCTCAGATGTGATAGGGAGGAAATGCTCAGCTTAGAAGTTCACTGAAAACTGAGCATGTGCAGAGCTGCCAACACTGCTCTGCAAAATCTCCAACTGCACTGGAGACATGGACAGGAGGGGGGGGTAGAAAACAGCAGGATCAACAAGGTTTTTTGCAGAATAGAGAAAAGGAATCCCATATCAAATGAGTGAGTATAAACAGCATGTCATACAGCATTTATTGATTGTTTTTTATGATGTGGGTTTAATGACAATGTAAGGAGGTCATATGAACGAATGAAGAAACTCAGAAGCATCTCAAATGGATCTGAAATATAAGTTAAATCCACCTGACAATGTGCTCCATTTACCTATCAATGCCATCCCCAAATCACTTTGTTTTTATTTAATCTAATATAGAATATTTTACATACAGTAATTAAATATAAATTTAGCAAAATGGGGTTTCCAACATTTATTATATGTGTATAGATTTCCAACTATCAGTGTAAGTTGAAATGCAATTTTTTAAAGAGGAAATGGAAGAGGTAAACATATGGTGTTGGGGGTGGGATTGGCCTACCCACTTTCACTTTCCCTTTAATGGCCAAGGTGAGATTGTCTCTTTGCTAGTTGGGATGTAATTTGCAAGAATATAATTTTATTTCTATACTACTTTTTAAATTACTATTTTATTTCATAATTTTTGTTTTTCTTTCAATTATTGTATTATTCATTAAATAAACCTAGAAAAATAACCCAATATAGGATCAGAATTTGCCACAAAAAGAAACCTCAAATTCAGGCAAATACCTTGCAGAATAATAAAATCCTTGGTGATTAAAATGATGCTGCACTGAAAAGATAACATTGCTTTGGATATTAAATGGTTCAATTTGTACTCCATCTAAAATCTTGCTCTTAACAGAATGATGTACAGACAATAAAATCCCCAACTGAGGTTCCAAACCTTTCCCTACTGTCATAGAACCAGAAAAAAGTTGCAGCTGTCATACCCTTTTGTTATGCAGGAAACATTTTTCAATGAAACTCTGAAAAGAACTGCTAAAATAAAATATTCTACTGTGCTCATAGGCATGCGCATACACTCTAAAAAATAATGTTTTGGCTCAACAAAAAAAATTAACGCAACAGTTTGCATCAAGCTTTTTAAGTTATGACAATGTCTGGTGAAATTAAGTTGAAGCAACAAACTACATTGCATTGAGGTAATTAGCTTTTCTGATAGAAATTAATGCATTTTTATTTACCGCCAACTTAATTACTGGCATTATAAACACACGTTTTTAAGTTGAGTACTTAAACATATTAACTTAATTCAAATAGTTTTTCCAGTTTTTATAAGAAACCTTCAAGTCACGTGTACTTAATTGCTACAATTATGAGCAAGTTTTTTAAAGTTAAAAAGCAGTTAAAAATCAAGTTGATCCAAATTGATTTTCTGTATTAGTTTTTAGCTTTGTTTTTTTTATACTAGCTTTCAAAAATGAATTAATCAGTTTAGGCTTACACTAGAATGTGTTGCAGAAACCCCGCAATCTGTGTGCATTTCACGCACCGCATTCAAATCGCACTACCCTTGCAGTCTGCAGTGGATGTCAGTGTTGCAAACACAGTGCATTTGCCGGCACCAGATTGCATGGTACAAAACAAAACATGCAATCTGGTTGCACTGTGGTTCAAAAATTGGTGCATGCATGTCTTTGGTGCGATGTGGTGTGATTTGAGCTCATTCAAAATGAATGGGCTCAAATTGCATTACACTGAACCACATGTGAATTGCACAGGAATGTGTTGCAGTTCCTTTGTGATTCACATGCACTTCATTGAACCAAGGCCCAACAATCCAATTGTTAAACAATTGACATTTTTTGCACACCAAAATCAAATCCTTAAAGTTGTACTGATGAATGAGTAAGCACTTTGCATTAAGATTCTTTTAATATTGTCTGTCTGGTGCAGAAACTGTTTCTCTACAAGACCTTTGCTATATTGTGCAACAAATTGTGGCCATATAGTGAAGCTATTGGAGGATATTGAAAGTTGATATTTTGTGAGCTTTCTTACAATTTGCTATATTCTTTCCGCATTACCCTGCGACAACCATTTTGTGAACTGAAATAAAAGTGAAAAATGTCATCTGAGTATGACTGTGCTATGGAACACATACGTTCTTCAGAGAATACTGTACTTGAGACCCATTACTTTAGCACTGGCTTTCAGTCCATCAAGTTCAAGGAACAGTTTTTGAAATAACTGAGACTTGATTTGTGTTAAGTGAATGGGGGTGGAGACTTGCAATGCAGCTCTCAATGTAGAGCAAAATTAAGTTACCAAGTCAAATTTATTAAGGTACCTTAACTTAAATTTCATTGTACAACAATGAATGCAGAAATGTAACTGTACATGACACACAATATTAAGTTGATGTAATTTCCAACATTATCATTTCAACACAACTCATGAAAGTAGGTTTTTAAAAGTTTATTTAAACCAATAAATTTTTATCTTGGAAATACACATTTAACTAGAAAATCTACAATTTCTGGGGAAATTGTGTAAAGTGTTCTTGCCGCAACCTTTACCAAATGATTGATGAAATGTAAGCAGTGCACATTGCAAGCCTGATAGTGAGAAATGCATTTCAGCTTGTATTTTGAAGCTCACAGTCCAGCCTGGTGAGTCATCTGCCTCTTGAGTGACTTTTGGTTGCTATAGCAACTCACTCAGTCAGGAATGTTAGAAGTGCTGTTCGAAACACACTGCTGCAACTTGCCAACTTCACTGGCGATTGCCATCTTCAAACACTTGTAGTTTTAAAAGTATAAATGTTACAGCAAAGAGCTTGGTATCGTGACAATCACAAGAAGCAGACCTAAATTTTGATGTATAAATTTTGATGTATGTCTCTGCAATATTAAAAATGAAGGCACAGTTGCAGTTTAAAAACGTCCCTTAACATTTCAGGTGGCTGTGAGTGAAGTTTCAATGAAAGTCAATGGGAGGGGTGAGTTGCAAACAAATGGTCATATTCTGAAAACTATCAGGAGTATGTCCTAGCCGTGAACATTTTTAGTGACAGCAGGGTTAGCTGAACGTTTTGATATAAGATATGTGTAGGTGGGCTTGAAAATGACAGAGTGATGGCAGTTTACAAATCATGTTCTGATTTTTCCTTCCACCCTGTAGCTATGCTCTGCTGCCACTCTAGATGCACCATTAATTCCTATGGGAAAATTTCACCACAAAAAAACGCGATATTTCATGAACGATTCGGGGAAACGTTCCACAAAGTAATAGCACACCAATCGGGAACAATCCGCACGTTTTGATATATTACTTGTCTTTGTAGTGTAAAAACTGTGGGAGGAGTTAGGGTGGTAAATATGGCTATAATAATAAAAATAAGAACTAGAAAATCTACAATTTCTGGGGAAATTGTGTAAAGTGTTCTTGCCGCAACCTTTACCAAATGATTGATGAAATGTAAGCAGTGCACATTGCAAGCCTGACAGAGGGATAAATGGATTTCAGCTTGTATTTTGGAGTTCACAGTTAGCCTTAATGACACAGCTGCGTGTGAGTCATGTTTGGTTGCTGTAGCAACTCACTCACTCAGGAATGTCAGCATGTCTGTTCTAAGCAGTGTTTAAACTTGCCAATTCACTGGCGATTGCCATCTTCAAACACTTGTAGTTTTAAAAGTATAAATGCTACAGCAAAGAGCCTTATATTGAGATAATCACAAGAAACAGACCTAAATTTTGATGTATAGTATGTCTCTGAAAGATAAAAAATGAAGGCACAGTCGCAGTTTTTAAAAACGTCCCTTAAAATTTCAGGTATCTAGAGTGGAGTTTCAATGAAAGTCAATGGGAGGGGTGAGGTGCAAACAAATGGTCATATTCTGAAAACTATCAGGAGTATGTCCTAGCCGTGAACATTTTTAGTGACAGCAGGGTTAGCTGAACGTTTTGATATAAGATATGTGTAGGTGGGCTTGAAAATGACAGAGTGATGGCAGTGTACAAATCATGTTCTGATTTTTCCTTTGCACACTCTAGCTGTGCTCTGCTGCTCAATGCATTCCTATGGGAAAATTTCGCCACAAAAACCGCGATATTTCGTGAACGATTCGGCGAAACGTTCCACAAAGTAATAGCACACCAATCGGGAACAATCCGCATGTTTTGATATATTACTTGTCTTTGTAGTGTAAAAACTGTGGGAGGAGTTAGGGTGGTAAATATAGCTTTAATAAGAAACGGAATAAGAATATATTTGTGAGATAACAATAAGTGTTCCTTGCTATGCAAGAACACTTAATAAGAATATATATGTGAGAATACAATAAGTGTTCCTGCTATGCAAGAACACTTAATTAAGTGGTGGTAACAGGTCGCTTGAGTTATTTTTTAGAGTGTAGGGTGTGCCAAATGTGCATGGGCACACCCTAATCACCTTGTGCAGCGCAGATTTCCCTTGCTGCCTGGGTGTTCCCTGGCTTCCCTACCGGCCCCTTCCTTTTCTAAATGAACACAGTAAGCGATTAGTACTGATCGCTCACTATGTTCATTCATAACTGAAGCCTAGTAAACTGTGTTTACTATGCTTCACTTTGTGAGTGAACAGGAAGCCACTCAGCACAGAGCACTTTCCATTCATTCACTATCGAGTGCAGCTGAGGCTGCAGACAAAAGGGATTGGGGAATCTCTGTCCTCAGTTCCTTTCTCTGTCTCAAAAGTGAGACATCAGGGGTCTGTTCAGATCCCTGATATTCCACCAAAGCCCCCAACGGGGCTCCTAAAAAAAAATCTGTTAAAAAAAATAAATACGTAAATAACATTGCAAAAAAATAATTAAAAAAAACAAATAATAAAAAAAAATACCAACAGCAATAATTTCCCTACTGACACCATCCTCTTCCTTACTGTCCACTGCTCTACTGACCCCATCAACTGCTCTACTGACACTGTTCACTGTCCTACTGACACTATCCATGTTTTAATACATTTTAAAATGTTTGTTTACATTAATACACACATGTGTGTTTAAGTTTTGGGGGGCACACCTTAATGCTATAGGCTGCACACACCAATGACTGTGCTCCTAACCTATAAGCTCTTTTTTTTTACCTTTTTAGATAATTACGGGTTCTACTCAGTATCAGAAGTCTGCATTCCAGAAGCTTGTAGCGAAGGAGAGAGGTTAACTCTTAACTGTACAATGAAGGGGAATGTTCCCCGAGACATCAGGGTCGCTTGGGAGAAGAGTCTCAATGAAGAGCGGACAGGCATCGCAAAGGACCAAGATATCAATTACCAGGTTACTGAGAATAAGTCACCTGGGCAGATCTGCTCCTTTCTCACTTTCTGTCCAACCTGTGAGGATTCTGGAGCCATATTTACGTGTTCCTTCACGGATAATGAAGGGAGGATCCTTGGAGAACGAAGCTCGCAGCCTCTGAAAGTAGCCGGTAAATACACTAAATGTTCCTCAATCACTTACATGGAAGGCCAAGATGGATATGGAGGCCTCCTAGATATCATACAATGAATGATATTAAAATAGAAATAAACCTAAGAAAAGACCAATTTAAAGTAGTGGTGCACCGAAAAGGAAAATTCTGGTGCCGAAATAGAAAATTCAAAATGCACTTGGCTGAAAACCGAAACCAAAATGCGCAGTTTTTAAAAATAAATATATATTTTTTGGAAAAAATACAATTTAATTAAAAAAAAATATACCAGTATACCACAATTTTTTTTGTGAAATATGAAAGAGGACGTTACGATGAGTAAATAGATACCCAACGCTTTAAAATTCCGTATGCTCGTGGAATGGCGTGAAACTGCGGTACTCAATGGGAGATGCTTTAAAAATGTCTACAGGTTAGTAGTGTAAAGTTACAGAGGAGGTCTAGTGCGATAATTATTGCTCTTGCTCTGACGTTCGTGGCGATACCTCATGTGTGTGGTTTGAACACCATTTACATATGTGGGCATGGCCTACATATGCGTTTGCCACTACGTGCGAGCACGGGGGGGGGCACTTTAAACTTATTTATTATTTATTATATTATTTATTTATTAATTTATTTAATGGGGGGTTTTTTTTTGGGGGGGGTTGCACTTAATCACTTTTATTCTGATCACAAGAAATGCATGCATCCCCTGTGATATAAATAATTAGTGACAGGTCCTCTTTATGGACAGATATGGGGTCAATAAGACCCCACATCTCTCCTCTGCAATGTAAAGCATTGGATCAAAAAAAAGCATTGAGCTAGTGCTTTAACAAAAAAAAATGTCCGGACTCGGAAGTTCCTCCAAGGGTATAGAGATAGAGAGGTGGAGGCCATCTTTCCTTCACTCATCTCTATGCTTAGTGCCGGGATTGTCTGATGGTTTCTCAAGCAGCGGGTGGTGGCGGCAGCGGTGGACGGGCTGCGGTGAGGGGCTGCAGCAACGTTGGACGGCGGCGAGGGGCGGGGGTTTTTTCGGCACCTGTATCAGTGTTTTTTTTTTTTTTAACTTCGGCCGACGGCCGAAAGGGGTGTTTTTGGCCGAAATGTTTCGGCCACCGAAATTTCGGTGCATCCCTAATTTAAAACCTTAACCATTTTACCTCATACCTAATTTGTGAATTTGCCCAAATAAGAAAATATTACATAGTTTACGCAAACACGAAAGAGGCTAATTTACTATAGAAGTTGAGAATATTCTATGAAAAAATGGTCTGAATATTCATTTCAATTATCCAATCATGTGAAAGCAAATTCCTGCTCACTTTGAAAACCTAAACCGGTTCTTATGCTTTTCTTGTTTTCTTTCACAAAGATTTAAATTTGAAATACACAAGGCAGACACTGACAACTATAAAGCAAAAGAATCCATTTGCAATGAAAATACCATACATATGCATAGTGTACAGTGCCTGGAAAGTATTCATACCCAATGAAATTTTGTACATCTTGTCATGTTACAACCAAAAACATAAATGTATTTTATTGGGATTTTATGTGATAGACCAACACAAAGTGGTACACAATTGTGAAGTGGAAGGAAAATGATAAATGGTTTTCAAAATTTTTACAAATAAATCTGTGAAAAGTGCGGCGTGTATTTGTATTCAGCCCCCCCCTCGAGTCAATACTTGGTAAAATCACCTTTCGCTGCAATTACAGCTAAAAGTCTTTTTGGGGATGTCTCTAACAGCTTTGCACATCTAGAGAGGGACATTTCTGCCCATTCTTCTTTGCAAAATAGCTCAAGCTCTGTCAGATTGGATGGAGTGTGTCTGTGAACAGCAATTTTCAATACAAATGCACGCCACTTCACATATTTATTTGTGAAAAAAATGTGAAAACCATTTATCATTTTCCTTTCACTTCACAATTATGTGCCACTTTGGATTGGTCTATCACATAAAATCCCAATAAAATACATTTATGTTTTTGGTTGTAACATGACAAAATGTGGAAAATTTCAAGGGGTATGAATACTTTTTCAAGACACTGTATACTGTATATTATTGTAAAAAGCCCACCTTCAGGGACATAAAGGGGATCTGGGTATTAGACTATAACAGGATAGGCAGGGGTATCACTTGGGTCCTGGAGTACCGCAAGGCAGTGATAAAATAAGTGCAATGTCTCTCAGAAAATGCTACTACTACTGGTACCCAATGGATTAAACTATGAGATCCGGTGGACAGTAGGTAAATAGGGGATAAGATGTGAGGAAGGTGGTGGTAAAGGAAAAAGAGAGGAAAAGTGGGTAGAGAAAAGGGAAAGGAAAAAAACAGGGTGGTTGCATAGTTGGAGGGGGAAGGAGTTATGGGAGCTTGAAGGTCACCTAGTGTTAAGAGAGTTAGCGATAAAATGCTGTGATAGGTAAGTTGCGTGTATATTATACAAGACTGCCAACATTTTTTAACTCTTTCTTGAGTATAATTAATTTCTTGTTAACCAGTGTACCATTTATTTGGCTTTTAACTTGGCTGAAATGCAAGTAAAAAGTCTTTCAGGCTTTTGGTGGCAGTAAACATGTGTGATATGAGTTTTTTCCACTAGGAAGATCTTTGGAATGGGTTTAAGACATGCTTCCCATGGGTTCTTACATACAGTAGATCTGTATTCAGAAGTAAGTGGATTACCCTTATCCACAGTCTATCTACCCAGGGACAAGACCCACCAAATATGCACAATTTTGCTAGGGTCAGGCCAGCCCCTAAACCATGTGAGTGAATAAGTTGGAATATATTTAGCTAAGCTGGCCGGGGTGTAATTCCATCTACTTGTAAGAATTTTCCAGGGCTAAGACATTTCTGGAGCTTTTGGCAGTTGATGTTCAAATCTCCTGCCAGCCCTCTGACTGTAAAGTCATTCTCAATTCAGAAGAACCATACATATATACAGTATATTGCCAGGATTGCTTAGAAAGGCACCATCATCCATAGAAGTACTAGTATCCACCACACATTCCCACAATCATGGGACTTTAAAGGTGCCTAATGATGCAACACATATATCATACTGTTAAAATGTATCCATGTATTGTAAAATTATCGAAACATATGGTATGTTTTGCCCAACAATGTTTTTGTTGCATATGTACACATTTCACTATCGATACAACCAGGTAATACAATTTAGGAATAGAGATTCTGTCCCATGCAGATGCTTCATTTGTGACAGGTATTTTGCAGCCGGTGAGCTTGTTTCGAGAGTTAGTAGGGCCATAGAGGAAGGTTGTTATATTGATACTGAATTTGTTTTTTTTTTTTGCTGATATTTTGTTGACAGTCCATATTTGTTGCTCTTCCTCCCATGAGGAGGCTAAGTGAGGTTGGTGGTCCACAGATTCCTGATTCTAAGTTCAGATGTTTATTAATGAAAAATTTTGTAGAACCTGAAAAGTGGGCTTGGAGATCTACGAAACACATTGTGCCATATTTGTGCCCCCCCCCCCTTTCCCGATCACATCTGCCTGTACATCAAGGAGTCAATATTTTGTTAAACACATGTGGAGAATTCTTCTGTATCATATGGTTGTATTGATGGAAAAATCTACTATTTGTGTATATACACAACAAAAACATTGTTAGGTAAAACACACCATATGTTTGAATGATTTTACAATACATGGATGAATTTTAACAGTATGATATACATATTGCATCATCAGGCACCTTCAAAGTCCCATGATTATGGGAATATGTTTTGGCTACCAATCTCAATACAGGTTCCCATTTGGTTTGATAGGCTACTAGGCTCTGTTTTGTAAGATGTGAGGCCCACGATGTATGTATCATTACAGCAACACTGTTTGTATGCTGTAAAGAGAAGATGGAATGAGTTCTCTATCAACAATGACCTAATGTACTGTTGTATTTAAAGATAGTGGAAATAATTTCGTAATTGTTGGAAGGATTTTACTCTAGTGTGTGTCAATAGAAAGTAGGTATCTTTGAATTCATACATAAATAAAGTGTGGCGCTTAATGAATAAAATAATAAAATAAATATTCAGATGATCTGAAAAGCACAGTAAGGTATGGGACACAAACTATGATAAATAATGCAGAAAAAAAGGTGACTAATACATCAAGTGAAAAAACATAACAATGTCCAGACAAAATGTCGCAGGATCCTGTGTGTAAAAAGCTGGATATATCAGGATCAAATGGTAGAACTGCGCACTCACCGGACGCGCTAAGGATATGCGATATCCTTAGCGCGTCCGGTGAGTGCGCAGTTCTACCATTTGATCCTGATATATCCAGCTTTTTACACACAGGATCCTGCGACATTTTGTCTGGACATTGTTATGTTTTTTCACTTGATGTATTAGTCACCTTTTTTTCTGCATTATTTATCATAGTTTGTGTCCCATACCTTACTGTGCTTTTCAGATCATCTGAATATTTATTTTATTATTTTATTCATTAAGCGCCACACTTTATTTATGTATATTTTCTGAAGGTTTGCTGAGATTACCTTATGTGTTTTGGCTGCTGATTGGAGAGCGCTCACTTTTTTTCTTTTTTCCATCTTTGAATTCATGACTGCCTCACCAACTGAATTGGACTGGGCTCTCAAATCCTGGGAGAAATTAGGGACAATGTATTAATTACAGAAAATTGTAGATGAGGGTAATGTAGTTTCTCTGATTATTCAATGGTGACCCAACTGGGCTAGGACAGGGTTGGGCTTTAGTGGGCATTTTGACAGAGGCAGCCAGAGTAAGGTCTAAGGTCACCTATACGAGAAGCTCCAAAATAGCATGTAAAAGTGGGAACTATGTTGGTGGCTGGATAAGAGAAGTGAAGGTTTAGGATAGCAAGATCGAATAAACGTTTAGAGCAGTATTGAATTTTTTGGTTAAGCCTAGGTGTGGACTTACCCCAGATATAATTTAAAGTTTTGTAGTATGTGCCTTCAAACAGGGTATTAAGTGCTTGGGAACAGGAATCC